ACTAGAACCAGAAAATTTGACCATATCAGCCCAGTTTTATCAACCCTACACTGGTTACCAGTTAAATTTCGCATTCGAATATAAAATTCTCTTACTGACTTATAAAGCTGTAAACGGACTCGCCCCTCAGTACCAAAGTGAACTTCTCTCCTACTATGAACCATCACGCCTACTTAGATCACAAGGTGCTGGCTCACTATTAGTACCCAGAATTAATAAAGTTACGTCAGGGGGGAGAGCCTTCTCATACAAAGCCCCCCAGCTTTGGAATAGTCTTCCTGTTAATGTTCGGGACTCAGACACAGCCTCAATCTTTAAGTCTAAGCTAAAAATTTACATGTATAGTCAAGCCTTTGGTTATTAGTTTTCCCTGTCGGTTCTATACCTGCCAGAGTCTCTGCTGCTCTACTAACACTGTAATCTGTGATCAGTCACCCATTACAGAACTGACTCTCTGTGTGTTTTTCTTTTCTTTCTTTTCTTTGCCGAGTTGAACAGCTGCCCATCCTGTGCATCTGATGCTGCTGCCTCTTCTGCCTTGATCGGGTGCCACTGCTGCCAGCCCTCTGGGCCAGCTTGACCACCATTGAGCTTCATGCTGTACAACGCCGTGCAACCTCACCCTCACAACCTGACCAAACTGATGCTGCTGCATAAACTAAACTAATCAAATTAATCATTTGCTCCACCTGTTTTCCCTGTTTTTGTACTATAATACTTTATACTAACAATGTTTACTATCCAGAGGAGGATGGGTTCCCCTTCTGAGTCTTGGTTCCTCTCAAGGTTTCTTCCAGTTTCTCTTTTTCCTTGCGACTGTTGCCACTGGCTTGCTCATGGGGTCTTGTAATGCTGATTTCTTTGTAAAGCTGCTTTGTGACAACACCTGTTGTAAAAAGCGCTATATAAATAAACTTTGCTTGCTTTCTTGCTCTGTTGGCTGTGACCGCTTTTCAGTTTCCTATGTCTAGTTGCCTAAGCCAGGTTTGGACATCAGGACACTGAGGCTTGCCTATAGTTTGAACATTGGGTCATGTGAACTGTGAGGTCTGAAAAGCTGTCAAGTGACTGATTTATGAAGAGTTCGGCACCTTGTATGGTTAAATTGTGTGGTTAAAATGTGATTATTTAACAGGCGAAGGTCAGATCCAAGACAAGCCAAATATAACAATAGGCGAACATAACTAAAGACAGATCCAGGCAAACACAGTCCAAAAAGGGATAAGGCAAAAGGCAGAGTTGAAAAAAACTGAAGAAAAGTCCAATACACAGTAACAAAACACAAGAATGAGCGCTCAGTAGCTCTAGTGAAAGAAGCAAAACCTCACCCTGAACTAACCTAAAGCCCAGGCTTATATTGTAACTAACAAATCACATGATACAAGAAACAGGTGAGGTGAATCAATATTCAAGTGAGACAGATCTCTGAGACGTTGAACGCTGTGACGTCAAAGTCATGTGTTTTCCCAGGGAGTTCTGGGAGTCCACTCGAGAGTCAGGGCTGGAGGGATGCGTGACAGTAAAATAATACTGCAGTGTTTTTTAACCTAATCTCCACATGTGCCACATCTGTACTGTATCATCATTTATCATTACAATAATTTTAATGCATCCGCCTGTACTTAGAAAAGAACAGAAAACCTACTGACTTGAAATTCACTTACAGTAAAAGGCAGTGGGCAATTGCTGAATGATGTTTGAAATGTGTGACTAATGACTTCTAAGTCATTCATTTTTTAGGAGGCATTTCTGTAGAGATTAGATGATAGTTCACATGCATTAGGAAGGGGAAAATACATGGAAAAACAGGTGTTTCCAAAACTGGACTTTAAAAACATTATTTAAAAATATAGAGAAAATGGGACTCCAACCATGCATGACCTGGCAGCCCACCAAAACTGTCATCATCAGGCAAACAGTACTTAAAGCCTCCCAAACCCTAACATCATTAAATATGTGGGAATTATTGGAGAGAAGCAGAAAATGCAACCAACTTCTATGACTGAACTTTAGAGGAAATATTCCAGCAGATTCCTTGAAAAACTGAAAGCAAATCTCTTGAAAAGATTGAAAGTTATAATGAAGTCAGAGGGTGAACACACTAAATACTGAAAAAAATGCGTGTTACATTTAGTTGTCGAGGTTTCTGTGTAATTTTCTGTCAAATGTTTGTTTTTTACTGATGCATAAAAATGAATAAATTGTGAATACTGAAAATTCATCTAATGAGTCAAATTGCAGTTGTGAAACTTCAGCTATTAACTATCAAACCTTGCAAGTTGTCTTTTAAATCTAATACTTCCTCTTCATCAGTAATGACTTGGAAAACATTTGGACTGGTCCCAGTGTATTTTCTTCCTTTTCACCACAGAGGAAATTTGCATAGAAAAAATATTTTTGAAGAGCCTTTTTATGTGAATATTACTTCAATGACATATAGACCATGAGGTACTCTGGATCTTCAGACCTTTGTTTATTCAAATCTGTCCTAAAAACAGCACAAACTGGTTTGATGGATTCTTCTGGGGAGACTTAATGTAACTATTCTTATTTTAAAAGGTATGAGGAAAGTATTTGAAAAAAATAGACATCTGTATGGTAAGCACTAGAGGGTCCAGTATAAACTTCCTTGTGGTAAATACTGGCAGGAAATGAAGGAAGTTCTACATAATCTACTAGCAATACATAAAGGCAACTGGACTTCAAGTACAATCTTGAAGACATTTTGTCACTTAACCGAGGGGCTTCATTACTGGTCCAGCCTTTACATCTCTGTCTGTGATTCACACTTATGATGTAATGAAACAGAAAATGCATGAGAAGCACTCATACATTCTCATACATTTTCTGCTCTGTACAAGAAAGGAGTCCTTCTTTCCTGGTAGCATGCATGACTCACTGTCTATAAATAGAGATCAGCTGATGCCAGCATTTCAAGCTTAAACCTGTGAACTGAACTTATTGTTAGCCCTGTGATGATGCTTTGTTATAAGGCTTATAGGCTCAAGTATCTGATTTTTTTTTTTATTTCAGAGAATGTATTCGCTTGTAGTGGTAGAGTCCAGCGGCGGAAATATAGTAAGCTTAAATGTCTTACAATTTTTACACTTTATAAGGTAACAAAGACAAATTCAAATACATGAACAGCTTATGTTTTAAAACAAATTCTGCTCCAACGGCTTTGTTTTCTGTCATTCATGTGGTGCTGTTTTTTTCTCCTTTGTGTCGTTCGCACACAGAGAACTGTAGGTAACCGAAGGTCTGGAAGGATACATCTGATGAGTCCTTGAAATCACTCTGAACGTAGACTGCATTTCTAGGCTGAATACGAAGGGTCCTGCACTTTGGAATGGCCTGCTATGACGTAGTGGCCAAGAAATGCAGCCTACCTCGTCTGCAGCCTAGGCTTTGGAACGCAGCCAATGTAACATTTTTCCCAGTGAAGACGTCAAATTAAAATTAGACGGCTGAAATGTGCATAATAAAAACGGAAAGAAACAGCAAATATAAAAATCCAAAACAACCAAGCACGACACCTAAAGCATGACACAGCAGGCATTTTCCATTTATATTTTACCTCTGATGGAAGTTTGTAGATTGCTGTCGACAAGGACAATGCAGGTTTTCTGTTTAACTGGACTGACATGTTTGTTTAACTGATATATTACATTTGACTTTGGAAATGGTCGTCCTCTACTCTGTCAGGGCATCAGGTCTCGTTTTTACAGGTCTATCCGGCACAGTTCCAATCTCTGAGTGGAGGAAAAAAATGAAGCAGATGTTGAGGAAAGACACAGAGAGCGTCTGGATCATGATCAGCCATAACACAAAGACAAATTAGTTATTTTTTTCTGCTGTGCTGCTAGTAAATCTCCTACTGCTACTGGCACTGCCAGTCAAAATATTTCTTTTAAATTCCTCATAACTGCTTGTGGGGGCCCCCTAGTGGTGTGGGCTCCTACACACATGTCCATGAAACCCAGTGGATGATCCAGGCCTGACAATATCCAGCTGTACAGATATTACATACTGCTACACATAACAAATCTAATAAATATTTACACTTTATTTATATGACCATAGTTATTAATCTCAAATGAAATGCAGCCGTGTTGAATGAGGGTTAGACATATACATTCATATTTTGATGCAGTGCAAATATACTTGACTTTACCTTTAACAAAACTGTACCATGAATCATGTCTCAGTACTACAGAGAATTAAGTCCATTATATGCGTAAGTTTTCAAACACTGGACTGATAAGTGTAAAGTCTGTTATATATGGCCAGACAGGCAGCACCGTTTATAGAGCTGCTCGCTCTCCTTCTGAGATCCAGAACTCCAATCCTGTTCCATCAGGATTCCCCTTTATCTATAAGAGGCAGAGAGATTCTTTGTTTAGAATACAGGATCATGACATGGTGTCTTATGGGTGAGCCGCCACTTTGGCAGGGTAAGTCGGTCTAAGCAGGTTCTGAATATTTGAATGAATCTTCCTTTCCAACCTGCTTTCCTTGATTCTGCCCACTCATAACCCATGAACTCACTACATACATTAGCAGGGCTGACTACAGTGTGGCTACTTGATCTGATCAAGAATCAAAATCAAGAAAAGTTTATAGTTTCTTTCAACTATTGAGACAGAGCTTCTTTTCTTACCTACAAGGCTATCAGCCATCTTTAAAAAGCTAAATTAACCTTCAGCTAGATATGTTTACCTCAGGTTAAAGTCAACTTGTGGGGGAATAACTACCTCATGTCAGTGCTCAGCAAAACATCAGTGATAAAACCAAATTACTGCAAAGATCCACAACAAACGTTTTGAGAGTTTCAAAAAAAGCAAATACAGAGTAGTGGAACAAGCTTGTTAATCTTATTAATTTACTTGCATCATGAAACAATTTAAAAGGCAGAATTTCATGAGAGCTCAAATTATAGCTTGTCAAGGAAGTAACCAGCGGTCTGTCATGTGATTAGTCAATGATTTAATGCAAGATGTGCTGGACATGTGTCAGTTTTTACTTCCTCATCTTAACACATATGTAAAGGTGCCGTGTGAAAGATTTAGGGGCATATAAGCCTTGTGCAAGAACGATCAACATCAACAGTAAGCATTTGGTTCAGTGTGTTTCCAATAAAGAAGGTTCCGTTAAATATTAACAGGGGTTTAGTTTTCATTAGTGATTTTGATTGTTAGCATTTGTTTTCCCAAGATATAGCACTGTTAATTGTATGTGTTGTTAAATAGTGCTTTATCTATTTATTTTTTTATTTATTTATCTATCAGTCTATCTATCATGCTATGAAGATCAGAATTCCAGAGGAATTGTTTTCACACCTGTAGTTTAACCATAGACTATAATTAAATGGAAACAGAGGAAGTGCTGTATTTAATACCTTAATGCAAAACATCCACACAAGGAACATGTTTATTGGGAAATTCCCCACAGGGGATTAGAGTGTGTCTTTTGTATGTTGAATATGTTAAGTATGTTAAATGTAAGATTTTCCTGATTCTTCCTCTTTAAATACCTATACACTTGGGTTGTACCATCACTTAAAGCCTCAAGCCTTCAACATCCAACATCTCCAGCAGCACAATGTTCTTCCTGAAGCTCTCTCTACTCACCTGTAAGTGTTGTCTGTGCTTGAATGTTGTATGCGAGGTGTGTGATGCTATGCATAACTTTTTCTTCTCAGCAGGAGCACTAGTAAACAAACAGAAGATCAAACTTTGTGTTGGGTGGGTTTAGGTCATTTCCATGTTCTTGAGTGCTGCATGTTTTGATGTTTTTCCTGCTCCCAGTACAGCTTTTAGAATAGGGAATGTCCTCCTGTGCTTTGCAGGAGGACTCCAGTACCAAGACTGGACAGTTTCAGAGAAAACTAAAGTAAACTGCTTTTCTTCTTACAGTGCTGGTTGCAGCTCCAGATTTGCTTGTTACTGCAGGTAAAAAAAACAAAAAACACCAATAATTCAAATGACCTTAATGCATTCTTATCACTGTGATGACTGTGTAACAAATGTTTAAGCACACTGACTTAAGTGCTCAAATATCTATGAATGGGTTATTATTTCAGAGAATGTAATCACCTGTTATGGCAGCGTCCAGCACCTCCGCTGTGGTAAGTTCAAATATTTTGCAGTCTCCAACATGACTAACCCAGTGATATCAATATAGAAATACTGGTAACACTTTTAAATACTATTTAGTGATAAATATAGTTAGTAAATTTTTGGCTTAGAAAGTTCTGTCTACATTCAGTACAAGCCAAGATTTTACTTAAAAAATAGCAAAACTCTTACACTTACAATTAACTTTCATATTTTATACCTTTATGCCTGTTTTATACAGTGAATCATACCTCAGTACTGTTCTATAGTGAATTAACTCCATATTTATAGTCATATTTCTTTGTTTTCAGAGATGGCCGTACAGATGGCAGCACTTGTAGCATTGGACGACCACCATCCCAAATCCAGAACACCGACTGCTCCATGAAGATTCCTCTGATCTCCAAGAGGTACAGAGTTTTAATACACATTCAGTGTAGAACATATTCACCCCCATTGCCAAAAACTCAGTGAAGTGATCTCTCAGCTTTAAATGACCCTATTTTCACTTTTTCCAGCCTCTCTTTATCCCTTAGAATTAAACAGTCTGTTTTTGTTTTTGCACTTCTAAGACTGATATATGAAAATGACCTCTGTTCTGATTGGATGTCCTGTATTGTGTTTGATTCAAAAAGCAGAGTGAGTTGAAACACTCCTCATAAAGCTGTGGTCAGATGATGGAGCGTATTCCGCCTAAAACGCTATTATATCCTAAAGCGAGACATGGAGTCTGCAGGCTGCACTCGTTTTGCCATAGAACACAGATCGAGTTGAAAAATGTTGAAATTCAGCAGAAAAGGTCTGCTCATCATGTGTCACTTTTCATAAGGCAACCAATCAAAAACGAGAGTGGGATGAAATTGAACCAGAGAGCGCACAGGGCTGTACTGTAGGACAGTTTTACTCGCTCAAAATAAATATTAATTCGCTGGTGTATGTACCATCCTCTCCATTGCTATTACCAAAGTTTGCTTTCTACTCCAAATGTGTCATATGTGGTGTTGAACTTTCCCCCATAACACAACCCATAAATATCCACTTCACTCCTTCGCTGCTTTGCAACACTTGTCACAGGTGGATTCCTTGTGGTTTAGACATTGACTTTTTGCAGAATATGCTCCACTGTTTGAATGCAGCCTAACTTCAGTGTGAGTGAAGCAGAGATAAACTGCTATAGGCTGAACAGGTGGATATGTAAATAATAGGTTTTTGTACCTCACAAAAAAAAAAAAGTGAAATCATACCGGCTGTTTTGTAGATATTTTCCAGATATAGACTGTATGGCCTGGGAAGTAAACGGTACATTTTGAAACTTTAACAATGTTTACATACAAAAATTCAGTTTTCCATGAAATGGGCCCTTTAAAGACACTGGTGAGATGTGCAAAAAAATACGTTACAAACAATCATGTTGTTACTTGTTGCTTCCACAGAATTACAGTTTTAATCTCTAATACTAGATCACACTTGTTTGGTCCCTCTCATGTACAGATTGTGAGCTGTTCAGACTCATTTCTACCAGCAGGGCACAAACACAGCAACCTTTCTTTCTTGTCTAACTGATAACCAGCTGTTTGAGGCCTGCTATTCATTCTAAATGCACATCATATCAAACACTGAGTATCTGTGCCAATACATTTTATCTTAAACAGGTGTGATGGCCACAGAGTGTGTGAGTTTAAGACTGATGTGATCGGAAGCCCTGATCCATGTGTCGGAACTTTCAAGTACTACAACACCACATATGACTGCATCCAAGCCCGTAAGTAGGAGTGACTGTATGTGTGGATTAGTGCAGCGTACACTGAACAAAGCATTTACTTAAAAATGTTTGCTAACAAATTCCACTTAAAAAAATGCCTTTTTAGAGTAAAACCATTAATAGTTTTGAAGAGTTACGTTAAGAATTGTAACGCTAATAGCTGATTAACTTCACTGTTACTTCACTGTATATCCTAATTTTCATAAACATGGTAAGTCAACATGTTTTGAAGAGCTGTAAATTACTGCTTACTAAAACTGATTTTTTACTAAACTAAAACCTAATTATCATATGAGGACACAGGTAGGCTAGGTAATGGTGTACAGGTGAATTTACAGCTGAAAAAGAGGTTATGGTTGTGCTTGTTTTTCAGGTGCCAGCGTGGCATGTGAGGACGGCTACAGCACACTGGACTGTGGTGAGAACTTCCCTCCCTCTGCACCACCTCACTGTTTTATTACTGATTGTTTGATTCCATTTGACCCAATTGAAATTGCAGATGTTACTCAGTAGCTTTAACTGTGTCTCTGTGTAGGAAATGATGTGATTCAGATCTTTAACGCTAATTATGGACGCACTGATAATAAGATCTGCTCAGAGGGACTTCCCAGCTCTTTGACTGTGAACACCAACTGTTACGCTCCTGACACTCTTACTAGTGTGGCCACACGGTAATTTGTGGGAATTTTTATATGTATTTTGTGTTTTGTTTACTGGGTCAGTGATCACTGGTCTAAGAGGCCTTTGTTACTATTTCACATTCATCTGAAGGTGCAATGGAAGGAGCAACTGCACTGTGCAAGCTTCATACACCATCTTCACAGATCCTTGCTTTGGGACTTCCAAGTACCTGGCTGTGTCCTATTTCTGTCTCCCACAGCCTGTTCGTGAGTAACCATTCTCATTTCCTTCCTCCTGTTAAACGGCTTTATTAAATTCTAACGGATCACTCCAAAACCAACATCAGCAAAGACCATCTTTTCCCAGTTTGTCATCTTCAACAAAGATTATAAGACAACCATGAAATTCTGATCACATTTTTGATGTCAGTTGTTCTTCTGAGACTTTAAATATGTAAAAAAATGTACAATTAAGAAATGATTATCTTCTGCAGAAACCAGTGTGACCTGTGAAGGCAACAATGCTGTACTGACGTGTGGTTTGTACACATCATTTTTATGCTTCTTCATATCTTATAATCATGAACATAATCTGCAGTCTATTTTTCTGTCCACACAAATAAGTTTTAATTTTTTTTCTTTTGCTAACTTCCTCCGATTTCAGGCGCTGGCATTTTAAAAATCCAAGCTGCTAACTATGGCCGAACCGATTCCACCACATGCATCGCTGGACGACCCGTCAATCAGATCACCAAGAACGACTGCTACGCAACCAGCACTCTAGCTGAAGTTATAAACAGGTGAGTTGAACTACATTTCAGTGTTACAGTGTGTACTTGAACATCACTGTTTTCTGTGGGGAGAGTTTGAATTAAAACAAATCTTTCTTTCTCTGCAGATGTGAAGGCAAGACCACCTGCACAGTCCCTGCCACAAATGGTGTATTCTCTGACCCCTGTGTCTATACTTACAAGTTCCTGACCATCGTGTATTCCTGTGTGGTTTAACCGTGAGTCTCATTTCGTCCTCGTCCGGCTCTCCACTTCACACCTCTCAAAGCTTGACTCAAGTGAGGTGCCATTTAAAGATAAAGGGTAAAAAGGGAATAGTGTGACCTCTATGGCCTCAGTGTTGGAATTCAGCTTAACATGTAAGAACATTTTGGAGGCAGAACAATCTGCATGCTTATTTCATAAGAATTGGCAAAGACTAAATTAGCGATGAAAACAAAAAAATAAAAAAATAAAAGTGGTTTGATGTGAAATGTGCCGTTACAGAATTTTAGAAAATGTTCCCTGCTAGAAAATCAGCAAAGGTCACCAGCCAAACCAGCACTTGTATGCTAGTCATGCAGAATGACCATCACCAGCTAAACCAGCAGCAGACCAGCATAAACCAGTATACACTGTCTTAGACCAGCATGGAATTCATGCTAAAAAAAAAGCTTATAAGCCATATAAGGCTGGGATATGGTAAACCTAGGTTAATACGGCTTTGCACATACTTTTTAGACAGTTAATCTGTCACATTCAGATTTCTGAATGTACATTGACAAAACAGAACACAGATGACGATGACTACATGTGAGAAATGAACCGAGCCATCAGAGAATCACTCACAGAGCTGAAAAACTGTTGTGCTGCATTAATCAGATCATCATCAGAGGGACGTAACTTTAATTTTTGCATTCTACATGACACGAAGATGCTTTAATGATACATTTACTCCACAGATTATGCTTCAGAAGTCCTTTTATTCTTTCAGCTCATCTCTGAACACAACCTGACTCTGATTCTGTCTCAGTCTGTCTGTTTCAGTTTCAAATAAAGTAAAAATGAATGTCTGATTCTGTATAAAGTAATTAGTATGACTACCAGAGGAATGTATCACAGTAAAGGAAATCAAAACATCATGAATGGCTGTTGTTGCTAATGATTTTAATGGTGGAACTGCAATATATGGGTATCAGTGAATTTATACAGCTTGGAAGCTGTGAATATCAGCGTTATTGTCTCTGACACCTAATGGAATTATTCACAGCAGTCTGTCAAAACGGTGAACACAGAAACTTTCCTTTCACTCCTTTCAGTGTACGGTTTGAAGTGCATGTTGTGTGTTGAACCACATGTCTTTTTACTGATATTGACTGCTTTCTGTTTCCTCACAGGACAACTGGAGGGATTCCAGCTTGTTCCTGATCCTGTTTTAAATATGTGCCCCTGCAGAAGTTTTTTTTTTCTGTTTTAATCCTACTTGCATGCATATTAAATATATGAAATGACTACTGTAATCATTTTATTTTCCATCCTTACCTGCTTTTTTAGATGTAATCAATAATTTCTTCCCAAGATAAATTCTTTATTAAAGACAGTGATTGCTTTATTTTAATCACAGTCATTAAAAATAATTGCATTAACATTATTGTTGTTTTCTGTTCTGTTCTTTACTCTCTGTCGCTTATCTGAGTGTCTGTAATAATCACTGGTAGTCTAAAACAGCAGCCTGCCTGAAATACTGATTAAATACTTTTCAAAATCCACATTTAACACCTATAATCCACTTATAAGTCTACATTTGACAAGTGTATACAAGTGTACCTAGATAAGATGAGTTCTCATGATTAAATTGACGATAACATCCTCATTATTAATCTAATGTGAATCTAAGAAGATATTACTCTAACTGTCACGCAGCAGTCCGGCTCAGACTCACACTTGGACTCCATTTCCCAGAATCCCGTTGGAGATCACATGACTCATAAACTTCCTCAATCCTCCTATCACGGTTCACAATCACCAGAGTACTGATAAATTGCCACTGTTTTCTTTGTCATATGACCTGTTTAGTTTAAAAGCCCAGGCTTTAGCTTAGTATTGCTTCTCTTTGTGGAGCTACTGAGTGTTTTCTGAGTGTTATTGTTTGCCATTTAGCGTATTGGACTCTGATTCTGGATTTACTGACTTTGCTCTTTTGTTTTTGCTCAGCCATAAACCGCTGGCCCAGTTCTGGCTAGCAGGATATGAAATCTCTGGCCCAGCTCTGGCAGCCGGACTCAGACCAGTTCCAAAATGAATGAAGTCATTTGGCCTGGATCCGGCAACCAGACCCGGCAATAATTAAAGACGGATATGTTTGTTTTATGACCTAAGGTATTTGCAACATGCTCTTACACAAGAGAAAAAAAGTAATTTTGTGATCCATGTATTAGTAAATAAATGAATGAATAAAAACAAACAAACAAACAAACAAGGAAACACATTGAGTCGCCAGTTTATTAAGAACACCTACCTTGTACATAAACTTGCTGACTATTTTATCAGGTAAATCTACAATATAGGTGCACTTTTTAGGTACCATTACTAACGGTAGCCCATCTGTTGCTTTCCATCTCTGGTCAGTGGTGGGCTGCATGTATAAAGTGGACAGACATGGGAGGAGTTTCAGATAAAATGGTGAAGGTACAAAGCAGGTGCACCTAATAAATCAATAACTTGGAGTGTGTGTGTGTACTTATTTTCATACTTTTACCGAAGTAACATTCCATAACTCTGTAGAAAAAACAAATAACAGGACAAATATTTTAAGAAATCAACACAGAGGTCATTATTCCATACAAATATTTACACATATGTAATACTCATGTGGCAAGTACTCATAAAAATACATATGGGACATATTACACATATAATATAGATTTATTTGCAAAAACATCTCCATTTTAATGAATTTTCATAATTCCTGTTTTTTATAGTAAATTCCTAGTAATATCAATCAAAGTTGGATGGTTTTGATTACGAAAAAATAACAAAGTACAGGTGACCTACAGAATTAAACTTTATTCAATTTTTTTTCTTTTGTTTTTTTGTCAAAACCAGATGGTCATTTCATGTTTCAGAGTTAAACAAAGCCATTTAATAGATACACATTACTTTTAAGTTCAATATTTAACATTCTTTACCATAAAACAAGCAGGTAAAGAGCTGAAAACTGCAACAAAAACAGCCCACTAATGGTCAATATTAAACACTTACAAGATCAGCTCTTGGAAAATCCTACAGCTGAATCTCAAATGGGTCACTGATCCCTATATAGAGTACTATGTGAGTAATGAAACTTCAGCTTTAACACCCAAATATTATACATTATGTCTAGTATGGAATTAAAACAGTTCTTGGCAGCGTTGCATCACCTCACCCGAAAAAAGTGTGCCGATTCGCTCAATGGATTAGGTTCTGCTCAAAAACAGCACTGGCATAAGCACTAAACTTGCAATGCCTTGACAGTAGACAAACACAAGTTTTGTAGCAAAAGTATTTAGGGTTCAGAGTGTGCTGTGTGTTAGAATAACTCACCACAGCCTGGTTTTCAAAGGAAGACGTTTATTTATTTTTTTTTTTGCAAATGAACTCTTGATATATAGCCATATTATTACTTATAGATATTTACATATATAAATTACAATATAAAATACATAAGTCATTTGTATGATGCCACATCTTGACAAGGTATAGAAACAAATGTGGGTATCTTTATGTGTGCGCATGCAAACTCACCTCTCACTGTTAATAAAAATGCAATGTAAAACATCTAACAGTACCTTACTTGGAGAAACAAGTTTAAGTAGAAACCATTAGTGTGTGAGCATGTGTATGAGAGGCCCTTTAGGCCAATATTCAAACTTGACTCTCACAAACACCATTAAACTCTCTCACACTTTGAGGGTACATTTACATTGTTGTACCTACAGTACCTTTATTTCTAAAAGTGTGCTGTCATTTGTAGGATACATATTCCATAGTATACATATTTCTTAGTTTACACTGAGACCCAGAGCTGTATGTCAGTCACACAAAGCAATGTTTAATAAAGTTAAGCCTTTCTTCAGGCGACTGACACTGCTAAAGCATAAATGCTAATTCAGTTAGCTTCGCTAGCATCAAGCTAACCGTGGTTCTCTTAAGCAATTCATAGCTGCTGTAGTCAGCAGTAGCTATAGCTACAATACAGTCAACTCATGACTGGATAGACATTCACTTAACATTTCAGTAACATTAAATCTGATCCTTTCAGTAATGATTTAAGTCTGTAACTAGATATTTCTGAAGGGACCTACTTAGCCTGTTAGCTATTACCCTGTTAGCAGGTCATGCTACTTTAATGTCATGCTTTATTCATAAAACAAATAAAGTGGGATACTTGTGAAATACAGTGTGTTCTATTGTGATATTACACTAAATTTAGCATGTGATTTGTCGTAGGTAGTTAGTGGCGAACATTAAAGTGTATACATCAAATCAAGAAGAAGTGCAACTTAGCTAAGTAGCTAATAGGTTGCTATGAACATTTCCCTTAGTGGAAAACTGACAATGAATGATAAGCTGTGATAAAGCATTTTAAAGCCAAAGGCATTAATTGTTAGTAGGCTTTTTTATTCACAACTATGAAAAATACATATTTAATACTTTTTTCCAGGTGAAAAGGTCAGTGAGATAACATGCAGTGTTTGTTCATTTTAAAACTTCCCGGAAGTTGAGCAGAGATGATGCTTCTGGTCAGCAAGCATAGTGAACAGTCGATGCTCACTGGTTTTTTATGGTGCATTGTGGGAAGTTTTAGGCAATGAAAGTTCCAGTGCACTGGAATGATTTTCACATTAAGACATCCTAGAAAATGGCCAATTCTCTAGGCAGTGCCCTGACTAGGAAGCACTTTGAGATATTGCCTATGCGTTTTGGAGTGGCCTAGTCAAATTTCTGACTTGAACCCCATTGAGGTGATATAGCAGGACCTGAAATCGGCAGTTCATGCTCAAAAGCCCTCAGTGTGGCTGAATTGAAGCAAATGTCACAGCCAAGAGCTCTTTTTGCTTAGGGTCTGGACATTTATAAGTAGCTCTAATATTGCCCTAATAACTATCTGTAATCTAATGTCTTCAAAAAGAATTAAAAGAATCAAAGAATATCAACAAAAACAAAAAAGGATAAAAAGGAGTGAAAAAGACTTCAGCCGCTGAGTTCTTGTGGAAGGAAGGAAAATGCATCAAATGGCAAGATGGTTCCCGGTCAACCACAATGCAAAGAACATCAAAACATCCCTTTTTATTCCCCTCTGGGGTGATGAGGTAATCTCGCCACCCGTTTTACGCAATTCCATACCATTTTAATCCCCATTATATCCAACCCTTACACCCTTTTTTGGTAACCCTTAAAACCAAACGCATATGATGCCTTTTTTTTGAAACCCACTCTGGTCTAAGTCATTAGAGAGTCCAATGCATACAGTCCATAGTCTGTGCCCCTATATTACCTTTTTAGGAGGGCTCCAAGCTCTCTAGTCAGCCAATGTTTTATTCAATCTTTTCCATCATAATTCTGCAAAGAAGAGACAGATTCTCCCACAGCAATGAGAAAGTCTGACCTGCAGTTATGGGAAGCATTTTGTTGCAGTTGTTGCTGCTACAAAGTGGCACAAGGCACTGTTTTCCTTCAATAAATGAAATTATCAAAAGAGTGATCATAAACATGACTTTGTTGTTTTTCTTATGTTCTCATGTCTTATTTTACATTTTGTTTGAGGATCTGAAACTGTTCAGTGTGACATTTGAAAGGGGGGCAAATACTTTCTTATGGCATGGTAAAGGCCCCCTTTTTTGACAGTTTAACTAAAGACTTCAACAGAAAATTATTTCATGACTGACATTTGATTTATATGATTTTATGTGTCCTAGTTGTTCCCCAGACAATTAGCCCAATAAGCAGGAGTCCAGTAATTTATTTTCTCGCATTTCACTGCAGGCTCAGCATTTATTACATTTTAAGGAATTTCATTCTATCACAGAGCACAAGAGGTCACACTGTTCTTATTTTTGTCCCTTATCTGTTAGTGTCACTTTCATTGGACAGCTGAAAAAGAGAGAGAAAGCCATCATTAACCACACAGGAATATACAATGCTCAGGTACTTATAGGTGCCCACACAGGGGTCAGTGAAGACATCGTTTGTGGCAGGAACTGTGCAGTTGCCCCTGTCATTACATCTGCAGAGAAGGAAAAATGTGTTGTAAGAAATCAACTTTAAGAATTCTCTAATGTACAAGGACATAGACTAACATTCAGTAGAGCTCACCTTTTTGCAACTTCAGATAAGGAGGTAGTTGCAAAGCAATCGGTTTTGGTGATCTGCCTGAGGGGTCGTCCTGCAGAGCACGTAGTGGAATCAGTTCGACCATAGTTAGCACTATGGATTTTTAGAACACCAACTCCTGGAATTGGAAGAATTTAGCACAAAGGAAAAGGCTAGTGAAAAGGTGTGTACAAACCACTTGTAAAGAAAGAAAAAGTAGTCCCAGACTACAAGACTGCACTTAAAGAATCCTCAGCCTGTTTCCAAATTAGCAGTTAATTCTGTAACAGATCTGTCAGCTGCAATCAGGGTTGGTAACTGTCTTTACTGCTTAACATTTCTGAATGTGCATTTATAGTGTCAGGAATTCCTCAGTCCTTCATTCTCTTCATTTATTTCTGCCTTGGTCTTGTCTATTTATTGTGCTATATGCTTGCTTTTTGTTTGTTTTGATCTTTGTCTCTCTCCCTCATTCTGCCCCTCTGTTATCACTCTCACCTGTGTCTAGTCTTTAACCCCTGCAATCTCATTATTACTCCTAGGTGTCTGTAGTCTCTAGCACAGTCACTGCTAGTTTGACTATGTATTTCGTGTTTAGGTTAAAGTTTAGTGTTTTTCTATTAGTTTGTTTTACTACTCCGTGTTTCATTGACTCCCTTGCCCTCTGTGTTCCTGCCTACCTGCTTTTCTTACCTGATACAGACTCAAATAAAGAGCACTTGCACTTCACTCCTCGTCTACCTACCCAGCCCCGACATTGCATAGTTGAAGGTATTGCTCTTAATTATACAATATGAAGGTAGATATGGAAAAAAAGTCTGTACAAACCACATGTCAGCACAGCAGTACTGCCTTCACAGGTCACACTGGTCTCTGCAGGAAACAGAAATTATTTCTTTTTATGCACAGAGAATCTCAGAGGAACGTCATTTGAAAATGTCATCAAAAATTTTTAGTAATACTGAGAGTAATTGTGATATGCAATTAGTGTGTGTGTGCGTGTATTGCATATCGTTGCTATCAGTATTACTAAAAGTTTTGATTACATCTTCTCATGACATTGTCTCATGCACATGCACACACGACTGGTTGGATAGCTCAAAAATTGTCATTAGAAATTGTCAGTTGATGATAATTTTAGAGTGTAATGAATTCTCTGACTCTTCAAACCTTGTGCAAACACTGGCTCCACTAAGTAGCAAGCTAACTATCTGAAAATTAGCATAGCATTGAAAGTTATTCAAGAGTTTTCTTTGAAGCATTTAGTTTTCTTTATGTTTCTTTGTGTTTTCTTTGAAGCATTTAGTTTCTTTATGTTTCTCATGGGCATGTAATTATTGTAATCCCAATATGAAATATCACCTACATTTCACTCAAAATCGGTCTGTGGTTAGTAAAATGAACAGTTAAATGGCCTTTTTCTTTCACACTAGGAAGCTCTTGGCCATATTATTGGACAAAACACTCCAGACTCACTTATTATAAGTAGAAGTCTGGCGACTGAATATATGACACATTTTGTTGAAGTGCAAGTAAGTACTCAACTTTTACAGAGAACACACTTCTGCACATTTTAATGCACGATTACAGTTTATTTGCTGAATTAAACATAAAAAGTGGCCTGTGAAAAAGTTATTTCACATTTTACATTTTACGTTTTTTTTTCAATATGTTAAACTCAAATAAAAAAATAGAAATTGTGCACTAAAATTTGCCAATTTTTTTACAAAATATTTAATATTTTTAATATTAAAAAATGTTCATGTTTGTTCCCCATAGTGGATTTATTAACTTATGAATGCTTAGAAAAAGTCATTTGACTGGGCATATTTGAATGTAAACATATGACTTTATATTAATATTTAAGATTTCAGTTAAAAAGAAATTACTTTCACATGACTTACATTTGTTTAACATACGATTCATGGTAGTTAACTAGTTGGGTTAGTGTAAGCAACATTTTTCCTAAAACAATAGACTTGTCATTACCATCACAGGTCGTTACATCGCACAATTGGTTGTCATGGTATATGGGCATATAGAGATAATAATGACAATGTGATTGTCCCAGTTATAACTATAATAACAACATTGAATATGCTGTTATTGTGTGATTTGGGTAAGATTTTGGTTGAATTCATGAATTTTACCACCAAGTAACATGCGTGCACACTGGCTATTATTCCATCAGATGTGCCTCAAATTAATCTCTTAAATGTCCAGGGCCTAAAGGTGGGCCCAAAGTTTTGTTACACACTTCTAACCTAAGAATAGCTCAACCAGTTTGCGTTCAAGTCCCTATAGTGACTGAATAATAAGCCTTTGTGTGTAATAAGCCTGGGATTTCAAGGGGTTAAGGAAACACCCTTATGTATGCATATGCACTAATGAGCCAAAATATTATGACTGGAATAATGTAAATTATCTTGTAACAACAGTGAATGTCACGGTCTGGGAAATCTTTGACAGTAAGCGAACAGTCAGTTCTCATAGTCGACGTATTGGATGTGGGAGAAATGGCAGGCATGAAGACACATTCCACTTTAACAAGCGCTGAATCTTTATGGCCCGATGAGTGGGTCAGAAGCATATTTAGCAGGTGGTCATAGTGTTTTCCAGTTTCCTGGAGATCCCCAGTTCTGTGTAATTCCTAGCCTGCCTCTGGATGTAGATCTTGGATATGCCTATGTTAATGCTCACTGCCTGTGCTTGACCTCTGCTAATCCATTTGACTGTGATATAATGACTGGAAATGTTCCAATGAAAAAACTACGCACACACTTTGCCGAAGAAAGGTGGTGGTGGAGTGACTAGATTAAAAAAAACATTTAACAGGAAGAAGGAAAAGAGGTAGATATTAAAAGAGTGGCAGTAAGGGACGGATTACTCACGAGCAGGGCGACAGAAATAAGAGACAGCCAGATACTTGTAAGTCCCAACACAAGGATCGGTGAAGATGGCATTTGAAGCTTCCAGAATGCAACTTCTCCTTTCATTGCACCTTTAGATGAACGTGAAATAGTAAAAAGGACCCTTAGGCAAGCTATTCCATCAGAAAATCAACAAACATTAAAGCCTCCACAAACTTACTGCGCAACCACACTAGTAAGCGTGTCAGGAGCATGACAGTCGGTGTTCTCGTTCAAGCTGCTGGGTTGTCCGTTTGAACAGATTGCCCTATCAGTGCGGCCATAGTTAGCACTGATGATCTGAATCACATCGTTTCCTACACAAAAACACAGGTGAAGCTAAGTTCAGCCGCAATGCGTCAAATGGAATAAAACAAGAAGCAATGAAAAAATGAGTAAGTAAAGAAGAAGGAACTTCTCACCACAGTCCAGTGTGCTGAAACTGCCCTCACACGTCATGCTGATACCTGAAAACAAAATGAATGAGTCTTAATGGTCTTTTGAATAGAAGTTCAGTTGTAAAGCCATGTTGGACTCATCTGCAAAAATGAATATTATATGGCTGTGATAGAAATATGGGAATAATACAATTGTATGCAAAAGTTTGGGCACCCCTGTTCGAATGACTTTGTTGGTTTTTTAAGTGAAAACAAGTTACACATCCTCTACAGAGAGCACACTTCTGCACACTTTAGTGCACAATAACTGTTTATCTGCTGAATATTACATTTTGGGGGAAAAAAATAATAAAACATGAAAAATGGCCTGTGCAAAAGCTCTGGCACATTTTACAATTTATGTGTCATTTTTTCCCAAATATGTTAATATGTTAAACTCAGCAAATTAATAGAAGTTCTGCACAAAAATATTTAGGTGTGTTGCCCATAGAGGATGTGTTAACTTATTTTCATTAGAAATGTGTAATTTGACTGAAAGTGTTTAATCATTCGCACTGGACTATACTTACAACTAAAATTCAAAGGAAAAAAAAACTGAAAGCTGAATACATTTTCATTTACGGTTTTTTGTTTAAAAACAATACCAGTTTCCTGTAACGCTGAAATTAATCCTGACACCACATCCATGCATGAGTCATGCGTAGGCAAGAACAGAATAATGATGCCGAAACCTACGCACAGTTTGAGGTAATAAACTGGCACAGCAGACAATTTTTATTTCATAGCACAGAAAATTTCCCCCACTACAGGAGCAAGATACCCCCTACCCCTGGCAAATCTTAACCTAAGACAACAAAAAATGTTGCCTAACTCTAGCTAATAATAATTACTAGAGCATGTAACTTTGATGCTAGCAAGCCAATGTCTCTCATCTCTTGTTACTTCTCAACCTCAAATATATTAGCCTTCTGTGCAAATACATTACCGTGAAACCAGTTTTAAAGTGAATATCGTATTTATATTCAGTCAGTTTATTTAAAGAGTATTCAAGGAGTTAAAATTTAAATGTTTAAAAATTCCATGATGTGATCATCTCAAATTCTGACACACTGTCACTTTTACGGACTACTTACGTGCTTGGATGCAGTTGTAAGTGGTGTTGTAGTATTTGTAAGTTCCGACGCATGGGTCAGGGCTGCCAATCGTGTCGGTCTTAAACTCACATGCAATCTGCCCATCACACCTGTTTAGGAGAAATGGAACAAAAAGCTGTTTACTTGGATGGATCTTAGATGTTTAGTTATATTTAGAGTTCATAGCAGACTTTAGCCACTGGAGAAAAATGCACTGGAGAAAAAACTCAACACCATTATATTGATCACCCAAGAAAGCTAAAGATGAAAGAAAGGAAGACTTAAGACTTTTTGTGTCGGTTGGAACAGCTCAGGATAAAGCAGTTTACATTCTGCTTATTCTCAGCTTTATCCCACATGTAAACATAGTCACTAAGATAACTTTTCATCACTTGAGAAATATTGCTAGATATTGACCTTTTTTCTATCAGAATGATGCAGAGAAACTTCACGCATTTGTAACAAGCAGAGTTGATTACCGTAATGCTTCAATCCATCCTCTGCAACTCATACAAAATGCAGCTGCATGGATCCAAACAAACAAAAAAGAGAGCTCATATCACTGCACAGAAGGAGCTGTCTGTATCTTTTAGGATAGAATATATTTATTTTTATTTATTTATGGCATTTTTCCAGTTTTATCCCCAATTTAGTCATGTCCAGTAGCTAGGTCTCCTGATAATACCAGTGCTAGGAGGGTGAAGGGTGGCACATCAACTTGTGTCAAAGTGTATTTATACAGCACGGTTTACAACAGGTGTTATCACAACACAGCTTTACAGGACATCCGGGTCCAAGTACCAGTAAGCAAGCCAGGAGCAAAAGTAGCAAGGAAAAACTCCTTAAGAGCAAGAGGAAGAAATCTTGAGACGAACCAAATCTCTTCTACTTGTTTTTTAAAGTTCTCACAATGTCTGTCTGTTTATGTTCCAGTATGTGTTTCCTACCTTCTGCAAATACCTTCCATAAAATACAGAACACTGAAATTCAGAACGGTGGTACTCAATTCATCTTTTTATTAGACTCAAGCTCAATGCACACTTTAAAAGAAACATTATTAAGATATGTTTTTAAGAAACATAACCCTTAAATTAATACTCCTAACTTTAATTTATTAAATTGTTTCCCCTATACTGCTGTCGCTGAATAGTAACTATAATAGAAAAAAATCAAACTGAACTTCAATTTCTTCTATTATTCTTAAGTGTCATCATCTGTCTGTAAAGCACTTTGAGCTGCCACTGGTATGGAAAGTGGTCTATTAATAAAAGTTATTAGTAGTAGTAGCATTAGTAGTACACAAGAGATGTTTTTTTTTCTTCACAGAACTGGCTAAGAGCTTTCTTTCCTTGGACGTGTACAAAAATTACAACATAATTTTATGTGAATGCTCTCAGAATCTTGGCAAAGAGGGTGAATGTGGTTCATAATCCAAACAAAGAAACTCTACCTCTCAAAGATAAGGGGAATGTTCACAATGCAGTCGGTGTTCTGGATCTGAGAAGGAGGGCGACCAGCACTACAGACGCTTCTATCTGTTCGGCCGTATACAGCAGACTGCACGCTTATCAGTCCGATATCTGAAAACACCGAAACATTGATATAAATATGGAGTGTTGTGGATAATTCTCTGTAGGACTAAGATGTGATTCATGACACTGGTTAAAAAGACTCAAAGCATACATTTATAAAATACTCTCATTACTGCCAACATCTGAATATTCAGCGTTGCTGAATTCCAATTCAGGTTAAAACTAATCTGAATGTTTTATCAGGTTTTACTCAGAATTTATCAGACATTTTTTGGACTGGTTTCCTGGATATGGGTTAAACTGCAGAACCAATGGTGAATCACTACTGGAAATTCCCTTTAGTCTAGGCTTAGTCTTAATCTGGGTGTGAAAAGCTGGCCTTTTATGTCTAGTCCCTTACAATAATAACATCTATTCAGATATCATAGGCTCAATGCTGTTGGAGTTTGTAAGATATTTAAGCTTACCACAACTGAGGCGCTGGACATTGCCATCGCAAGTGATCACATTCTCTGAAATGATAAATCATATGCAAAGATCCTTGAGAAAATAAGCCATTTTCATTTATCAAGACACTGATACATGACAATGATAGGGTTAAAAGTATGTGTTGAGTTTTACAGGTTATTTGAATTATTGGTGTTTGACTGCATTTATTCTTACCTGTAGAAGTGACCAAGCCAGGAGCTGCAATTAGCACTATAAGACAAAAACAGTCACTCCCTTAATTACCTCTGAAGCAGCCTAATTATAAATCTAAAGCAGCATCTCACAATCCTGGTATCAGCATAATCCCTGCAATAGACATTTTATGGCATTCTCTGCTCCTTCAGGCATACTGGGAGCAGGGAAAACATTCAAATATCCTCTAGAATATAAGCAGTCTCCAAAAAAATTTTTCCACACTTTAAAATTGTCTACTTCTCCTGTTTAGCTATATATGAGTATAATCAACCTGATGTTTCAAATTTAAAAGAATTGAAATTACTTACCGGTGAGCAGAGACAGCTTCAGGAAGAACATTGTGCTGGTGGTGGTGCCAAAGGTTTGAGACTGACCTATATATAAAGTGGCACAAGTCAAGGAAGCATTCACATGACAGGAAAAGCCTTATGTTATCTGTTTGCGCAAGATGTGGCCTTTTATTATTGGGAAATTTTGTCATAGCAGCTTAGCAGGTTTGTACCACTATGTTTCAGTTTAAAGACATAATTATGTTGCATTAAGGTTAAATCTACAGACGTTCCATTTAAACTGTGACCCACCACTTCACCACTGACCCACCATCTAACATGCCATATGTGGCCACTACTTAAATCTGAACTAGATCCAGTAGTTCAAGTTAAAGTAGTTGAGCGGTGGGTCAGTTGCGGCAGTGGTGCTTCAAATGTGGACATGAGATGTGGCCCTTTCATGGCTGTAAACAGGCAGGGCTCTGGCAACTGCACCTGGCTCACTTCTGTGCCATTATTTCATCCAGCATGTGACCAAGATTTGAGATGTACCAACTTTACTATATGGAGAATTTGTAACTAACTGCCTGACTGTGGACTGGTGGAGGCCCAAGTGTTGGGTTATCATTATCTATCATTATCATATGTCTTCCTGCACTGACCCGTGCCTTGTTAAGTTGTGTGATTGTGTTGTTTCTCTGGTTCTTTGCAAAGTCTTACATGTGTGTTACCTTTGCATTACATAACTTTGTCTCCTTCCTTGTATACCTAGTTTATCTAGCCCCTGTTCCAAGTATTTTGTAGTAGCTTCTCTGATTTATACACAGTTTTTATAAATATTGGTATTCCAGTGTAAATACTGTCTACTTTTAATTCTACCGCTGTGGTCAACTGCAACAACAGTGCCTGGATTACAGCCAAAAAGACTAAACATCTGTTTGCCTTATGCATGCTTTCTTTCACCATCCTAAACACTATTTTGCTTCACACCACCCTGCAAGTAGCTCTAGTCCAGAATACATTTTTAAAAATACATTATACGCCAAACCATTCTCTTACAACTTTTGAAAAACTTTTGGAATTTCTTTTTAATCCAGTGATTTTTTTAAAATAACTTCAATAAAAATGTTTGTTTGCCTGGCCTGAATAGGTATTTTGTGCCCCCACCTCCCCGTTTGTAGCAGTAGGAGTAATTTCACTTTCTTTTGCACTCACTGAAAGGGGCATCACCTCCAAATAAGAAAAAGAAAAAAAAATATATACAGTTCGGTTTAGTCTCAAATCCAGGCCGTGAATTTTCCTGTAGTCATGGAACTGCAACAGAGGTTATAAAATCACCCACACAAAGGACAGGTTGGAATAAATGGCTTATTTATTAACTATTAATAACCAGGTAAGTGGTGCATGATGAATTTATCTGACGGACAGGCATATAGTAATCACATACCTGAAATTTACTTTAGGAACACTGTAATTAGCTGAGAACTAAAGGTAGCTAGTTTTATGGTGAATTAAAGAGATTGTTACCACACGATTTATGATTTATGTACAGATGATGTTGAGGTTAATTTGCTAGGCCAGTTCATGTTCACAAAGTTGTTTAAATGCAGATTTTCTCACGCCAGTCACATGTCAGTTTAAATCCCCTAATCACTAGCTAGCTATTAACATTTTTGCATTTTTTCCCCAGGGATTTCTGTTTTTTTGGCTTTTAATGTAATTTGGTAGAATATTTTACATTGGCCCTAATCATATTGGCTGATGTTCAGTTGAATTCTGCACACAGCTCAGTCAGCACAGTAAATTTACTTTTAAATGTAGCCATTTTAAACACAATTATGTTGAGTTACTTTTAGATTTGTTTGGGAAATGAATAAACTTGCTAGCTAACACATCTCTGGCAGCCTCAGGCAGTTCACTTAGTTGGGGGGGGCGCCCATGAGCCCTCAATGAATGAGGGTGAATGGAGCTAAATGGCTAAATATTGAAAGTTAAAATAGTTTCTAAGTAATTGCCCAGAACTTTCCTTTAAATCTAAAAAGTAGAAGGATGTATTTCACTAAAAAAGTAAAGAAAACTTCTCTATATGTTTCCTTTGTTCTACAGCAAACGGGTTTTGGGCAGCAGGACACTAGCATTACTGCTACTGAGAGCTGATTGGTTGAAAAGAGAACAGCCCACTGGCTGCGTCATTTTAAACTCCTATTCTCACGTTTCGTGTGACGTCAGACTGTAGTTGACGTCATTTTCAGGAATCAGAGGTTAGCTGCGTCCCATTTCAGGAGCTGCATCCTTTGGAAGCTGCATTTGAAGGCCGACTGAGTCACAGCGACGCGACTAAGCTCTCCCATTTCAAAGGCTCCTTCATATGCAGCCGAGAAACGTGTCCTTCTTTTCATGGCAACAGATGGATCCTTCGCCAGCCAACATATCCCGAGGTTCATTCTGTGCCAGCGAAGGTTCGAGAACATGGCAGTGTCAGCAGAGGACCGAACAGCAGCTGAGGAAACACTTTTAAATGTAAGTATTCGGTTTAAACTGAGTCAAATAGCCAACGTTTACAAATGTGGTCTGAAGCACAACTTACAGTAATGTTTCATTTTGTTTTAGGGAGCAAAGAGCAGACAGAGAGAAGCAACTCCAGCTCTAACAAATGAAAAAAATAAAATAAAATAATAAAATCAAAGTTTCTGGCTCCATCCTTAAAAGAACTTGACAAGAGTGGCTTTTCGTGATGCAGCAGTAAGGGCTGGAACAGCTGTGCTGTGACGCAAACATGAAATCTGCCTTAGAGCAGACCATCTCATTTCAGTTCAGCCTTCATGGGACTACGCAGCCTTTGAAGGACACGCCTTCATAGACCACATCTGTCAAAGAATGCAGCCTCTGAATTGTGACTGCGCTAGCGTGATGCCTTCAGTTGGCTTTGCTTTGTAAATGATTCACCTGCAAGACACGACAGAAGCCGAGATTGACAAGAGACTACACAGATCTTTAATTGAATGTCTGAATGATTTTGTTTACATCTAAACCATTGAGTCCCCCTTTAATATATATGTCAGGAAAACACAAATTTGGTAGCTTTCCGTCAGATTAAGTGGGAGCAGGAGTTCGGGGGAAACTGTGTAGGAATCGCAGCCTATTTTATTGACTTTGTCGATGTAATGTTTTTCTCTTCCAAAGCAAGGTGAGTAATTTTAGCCATCTTTCACTTCTAGTTATGTTCGTGTTGAACAGCAAAGCCAGAAATTTGGTCCCAAGTATGGTGGCCACAACAGAAAAATCATGTGACTGAAACCCTAGGATAACTAGAGTTCAAAAGTGTTTAAAAACATAACAGCGATGTTAAAATGTTTTATGCTGTTCTGTGTTCAGGAATTGAAGGTATTGTTTTATACTAAAAATGTTTTTTATATGATTTTGCTCAAATGCTCCTTCTTAACCCATTCATTTTGGACTCCCTTGGTAGTGCCCTTTAGCATTTGAGAAACCCAGACATTACAGAGTGATAATCACTACAGATTCTCTGTACAATGGCAGGGGACGCTGGATATATTGGCAAGGCAACAGTATGTCATTCTGTTTGAAAGGTATGCCTAGAATTGCTTTGTGCACAATTTTGTAGTGTTTCCTGGACACAAGCCAGTAATTGACATCAAAGAGGAATTCCACAGAATTTGTCTTTATTAACAAGAATAATAAAGAAAAGGAAAAAAACACAAATAAGAAGCAAGAGACAGGAAAATACCCCCATGCCATTTAATCTTTCAGGATTTCCAAGTCTTATTGGCTGCACTGAACCCACATTCCCAATACAGGTCACTACCTGTACATTAAAACAATCAAGCACTGATGTACAGGTAATAACCATTATAACCTTCAATAAAAATTTATAATGTACTACAACTCACTGTTGTTTTCCTCCATCAACATCATATGTGATGCTACCCACATCATCACAAATGATGAGTCTTCATGACCCACAAAATTTTCTGGAGTCTACAATATGCAAGAAATTTGATCAGGATAGGCCTGTGGCACTTTTGCTAGAAGTATGGTTTACATTCAGTGTAATGTTGCATGATATTAAATTACTGCAACTCCTGACGGCCCCCTCCTTACAGACACAGGATACCTGCCTGCCCCACCTGATGACACCATACCTTGATCCTGAGCTTGGACCAAAGTCAAGCTGCCACCTTGCCCACTGTAGAACCAGAGCAGCGGTTGAAATGACCATAGGAAAGCTCAGGGTCACCCCAGAGAGGGCATGCGACATTATAATGGCATGTGTGGTATTGCACAGCATTGCCTCCATCAGATGAGAGTGACACCCTGCCATACCACAAATATATGAAGAGGAACATCACCTCCATGTAGCTGACCACAGAGATGGTAGAGTTAGCAGAGACACAATTTGCAATCACTCTTTCTCAGATTAACTGCTACATTCCTGCACTTTCACCCATCTGCTTGGGAATGGCCAGACACATGCTGTTAGAGGATGGTCACAAACATGTTATCATGGCAGATCAAATGAAATGGGTCTCTTGTGTCTGTGGGGTTGTTGGGGTTCGGTAAAGAAACATTCACACATTCATTTCAAAGAATAGAAAACACTACATAAACATGTTCAATATTTTTTTTTTATTAGAAATTTGTTAATTTTATTGGATTAATTCACACCTGTGTTAGGTAAGTGTTCAACAGTCAGTGGTGGATGTTATATCTCGGTTCTGCAGTGCACAAACGGAGGAAGACAAGTAGTGGGTAACAAGGCAATTTTAAACAAAATTGCTGTTTATCCTTCACACTGCTGTAGTATTTTACCATTTGCTATGATGCACATTTGTGTCATATTTCTTAATTTGAAGAAGTGCAAACACACCCAATGCATGTATTGAACTCGCTGTCAAGGCAGGAATTCATGTAGACGCCTACAATTGATAGCCCCTTATCGACACACATGTAGGTCTTCATCATACCAGTAGGACATAAAGCAGGGGTGCCCAGGCCTGGTCCTGCTTATCTTCCATTCTGTAAAGTTTAACTCCATTCCTAAGTTAACATACTTGTTCCAGGTAATAAAGGTCTTCAGTGGCATCTGAATATCACAGACTGGGTCTGAACTCTTCAGGGTGGTAGATTTCCAGGACCAGGACTAGGACTGGGCAGTCCTGACATGAAGAATGAGAAAATAGTGTGAATTGATAATTGACACGTTACATGACCATTTTCATATATAGAGAGAGCCAGGATCCTGTAGGCCCAGTGTCCCGATGGATAAGGCATCAGCCTTTGGAGCTAAGGGTTGTGGGTTCAAGTCCCATCTGGGTCAACTTATACCCATAAAGACAAGAAAGCTTTGTGATTGTTGGGTCTTACCCGCTAAGCTGTAGGCTTTCAGGCCTTTAAGTAGGGGTGTCCAGCCTCATCCACAAAAGGCTGGTGTGAGTATAGGCTTGCTTTCCAAGACAGCAACGGCAAACATTAACAGCTTTTAAAGACTCAGCTTGACTGACTAAACATGTGGAAGATTTTGCTCTTGTTTGTTTGGAATGAAAACCTGCACCCCTTGCGAACAAGGCTGGACATACCTACACAGATGTGCATGAGTAGGCCTTCCCCAAGTCATACTGCATGAGTAACACATCTTTTCAAGACTGTTGATTAAGCTTTTCAGAAACCACAGATTCACATTCATGCTATACTCTACAAAGCTCAAAATCAGCAGCAGTAGATTTGAGCCACCCTTGTGCAAATGATGTCATCTGCTTACACTCTATATGTGTGCCAATGATATAGTGGAATCATGCAAGATTCTCATTCTTTGTGATCTGGGTTTGATTCCTAGCTGGCACATAAAAGCTTTTACCAGTAGCTGTGGTAAATAGCATGATTTATAGACATGTTATTTATCATTATTGACTGTGAAACTTGTGGTGCAGTATATTCACTGTAAAGTGAGTGCATTTATTTATTGGTTTATGTCACACCCTCACCTCGTTAAGTCGAAACCAATAATGGAGGTAGTATATAAGGCAGGGGTCTCTAATCCTAGTCCTGCTTAAAGTTGAACTCCACCCCTAATCTAACATACTCAATCCAGGTAATAACGGTCCATTTAGTCGGCACCTGAACAATATAGACAGGAGAGTTGGATCTGAACTCTTCAGGGCGGTAGATCTCTAGGGCCAGGACTGGACACCCATAAAGAATGAGTAAGTAGTGTGAATTGATGATTGACACTTTACATGCCTCAGCCTTCTGAGCTGAGGATTGTGGGTTCGAGTCCCATCTGGGTCAACTTATGCTGGTGTGACTGTGGGCTTGCTTTCCAAGAAAGCAGTAGCACACATGCTAACAGCTGTTAAGGACTTGACTGATTAAACATGTGGAGTCATGTTTTATTCTTGTTTGTTTGGAATGAAAACCTGCAGTTACACTGGACCCCTTTCTTGGGGAGTTGTGGTCAGCCAAGGTTTTCAGCAACGAGGAACTGGGGAAAATCCAGTTACATGGTCCTTCTGGAGTCCGGAGATCTCTGGGTTGGACAGCTGGGCTGGCAGAGGAACCACATACACAAGCTTGTTCAAAGGGTTTCTTCACTCACTCTGCTGTTCAGGCAGACCTCCTCTGAAAAGCCCAAAATTTGATGCTGGTTCAGCTCTCTGCGTTTTCTTGCTCCCTGGCTAACATAGCAGAACTTTCTGGCATGAAATTGTCACTGGCCAAATGATAAAACCTCCAAATACTTCTTATTCTGGTAGTGAGCAAAATAAAACAAACACAAAGAAACGAAAAATGGTTATTTGAACAAACAGAAAATGGAATGGAATTCCTTACATTTAATAAATGCTGAGCCTGCTGGGAAATGTGAGAAAATATATTTCTGGACTCTTGTTTATTGGGCTTATTGTCTGTGAAACAACTAGGACACATAAAATCATATAAATCATATGTAAGTCATGTGAAACATTTTTCTGTTGAAGTCTATTTTTAAACTGTCAAGAAAAATGAGAACCTTTACAGAGCCTTAAAAAAATTATTTGCTCCCCTTGCATTATTGTTACACAGTTCCAGATCCTCATACAAAGTGTAAAATAAGACACAGAGAACATAAGAACACAACACTGTTTTTGATCACTCATTTGATCACTCAAATCATGTTTTTGATCACTGTTTTTGATTATTTTGTCTATTAAAGAAAACAGTGCTGTGTGCCACTTTTAGCAGCAACAACTACAACCAAACGCTTCCTGTAACTGCAGATGGCTGTGGAGGAACTTTGGCTCTTCTTTGCAGAATTGCTTTAATTCAGCCACACTGAGGGCTTTTGAGCCATTGCCCAAATTTGTATTTACTATGAACTGATTCACTACACACAGAACTAGTGAGCAAACTGAAACAGCCTTTTTTTGAGCCTTTCAGAGATGGATCATCGTCTTACTGCTTGAGTTTTAGATCACAAACTGCTGAACGCACATTCTCCTGCAGGATTTTGTGTTAGAGCCGAATTCATGGTTCCGTCATTTATGTCAAGTCGCCCAGGTCCTGAAGAAGCAAAGCATCTCCACACAATTGCACTACCACCACCATATCCAAAGCAACATAAGAGAGTAGGGAAACATGCTTTCCGGGGATTACGAATAACATGCCCTGTAATAATGCAGAATGACTCACCAGTGACGGTCACTGCTTGAAAAGATGCACAACCGTTCACCTTGGCAAACTTGTCAAAACCTTTTCTCTCCACAAATCCATGAATTAAGTCAAGTAATATCATAACCAGGGCAGGCAAGGAAAGCAGAAGAGTGTTTTTAGCTACACTCAGTTAGCCATGTTTTTCTCTTGAACCTCTCTGGATTGAAGGAGCAGTTACTGTCCTTTCTAGACTGAATGATGTTGAAATCCTCTGGCTGGTGTGGTCACAATCATTTAATCTCTAATTTCTGCTCTAATGGCAGGGTACCAAATTGAACTTTATTACGTTTTTGACTTGACCCATTATATTGCCTTGCTATTATGAGTGGCTACCACAACTGATGAAGAACAATGGCTAGCTGCATAGCAACGCCCATACCGTGAATGACATTTACTAAACGTCTGGACGTATGTAAATTTATTATTTTTCATTGGTTGCTCTCAGCATGGGGCCAACGTGATTGGGCCCCACAGCTGGTTATTGAAAGCGTGTTTTTAAACTGCTCACTTGGTTAGACAACTGCTGACGGGCCAGCCCCACGCTCACCAAAGGAAGACTGCTAGGAGAAATAAGTAGTCTACTGGCATTTACACAGGTATAGGAAGATATTTGGAATGTATCGGACAGCCCTACCACCGTCATATGTAATAAATGTGCAATGTTAGTTACAAAAATATATATATTACTTGTTATACTGAATTATTGATCATGTCGTGCACATCCACCTCTAAAAGCTCCCTCACAGAAAGTTATTAAATGAAATGGTTATGAATGTGTGGCCTGATGTCTGAGACATTGTTTACAGTAGTTTTGTGATAAAGTTTTGGCCTGAAAGTATTGTAATCAATTTATTTGAATCTATTCATGAAAGAGGGATGTATGTAGGGTGTCACAAAGCAAAAGTAGCCCCCTAAGGAAAGTTTTTTTCAGATTTTCCACTATTTTGCCATCATCAATATTACATATAAAAACTCAGAAGACGTGTAGGTTCACTGGAGGTTGTGGACAGTAAGTAAAATGGCTATGTTCGTGTTGTAGACACACAAATCCCCCGTTCCTATCACCACCACTGTAAAGAAATCAGATTTAACCACTTCACATCAAACCACTCTGTTAAATTATGCACGTGTAATTGGAAAATGGTGGAAATGGTGGAATCCCCCTTATATCACTTTAATGTCCATGCAGAAACCCACTAAACTCAATCAATGACAGTGTCAGCTCTTGAAGGCTCCTAACAGCAGTGAAGCAGCAGCGACGCTCCGTTATAAACATGTTTCCTTTTGAAGTTTAAACTCCATTGTGACCCGAAATGGAACCAACCCGCGACATAAAACGGTCAGAAAAGAACGTTGATCCTCAGTCGTTTACCGACACCCCCAGCGCTGAACGGCTCTTTCTGTGCTCAGAAAACGCGACAGACTTCTGCTTCTTCTGGAGATGAAGACCCCCCTGGCCGGCGTCCTCTCTCTTCCCTCTCGGCTCGGCTTGCGCCCCCTGCTGTTTGTGGCTGGGGCCGCGGCCGCCGCCGCCGGAGCTTACTATGTTTTCTTTTACAGGTTTGGAGATCGACAGCGGAGACCGACGACGGAGGAGACCACCGATACCCTCAGAGTCCAGACTGAGGTAGTTATTCAGCTCCACTCACACGAACTAACACTGCTAAAAGTAGCTTATTAATGTTTCTAATCTAGGTTTCCATCGTAGGTCATCACTGAGGACAGCGGGCAGCTGCTGGTCAGCCCTCAGTACTGTGGACCTGTGACTGTATACAGGGTGAGTGAAGCGATGAGGTTGTTTACTTTTAAATTGGATGTATCTGTACATTGTCCAGAGGATTCACTGATGTTAAATTTCTCTTTGAGGGTTTACAGAGACAGTTTAACCGTCTTTTAAAGGTCTTTCAGTGGATCGTAACGTTACTTTATTCTGCCTGTTTGTGGTTTTCTGTTTAAAGGGTCTGTAAACATTGTTATGTTTCAAAATGTACCATTCACTCCCAGTCCATACAGTCCATACAGTCCATATATGGAAACTAAACTCTAAAACAGACTTTTTTGAATTGATTGTTTTTGTGATGTCATGGAAACCGACATGTTCGCATATATTCAGCATACAGCAGTTTAGCTCCGCCCATTCACGCTGACGTTATAAAAAGTGTGTCTACCTGAAGAGGCTTTTGAACAAGATACACAACAGGGCAGCCAATGAGCACAGAGATCATTTACATAAAGCTGTCTTAAAGTCATAACAAGAATAGCCTGTTTAATGGGATGAAGGCTGGAAAATGGTCATGTAAAAATTAAAAATGAATTATGATCGGTGCTGGTACATAACCTCACACACACATTAGGGCCTCGTACATAGAATATTAGCACTTTAACGTAAAGATTATGGTTATACCAAATTCCAAACTAATGAATAAGGTCTTTCATGTTAACATTTTGATGAATACTTACAAATTTACTGAATAGCTTGCTTTCTATGATGGTATCTCACTACAGTGTCCCAGACAGTTTCTGATCCTGCAGCACTGCTTAAAGGACGTGCAGAGTTCATTCTGGACTCTGCGCTTCTCTTACGTATCCTGGCACAACCGCGACCAGCAGGTATGCACTTCTGCCTCTGTTCAAGAACACGTTTGGTATTGTTACTCATATCTGCAGCTTCAGAGTCTCTCATTTGCATGTGTGTGTATTTTTCAGAGGATCTGTGTCAGGCGGCACTATGTGCTGTTGATGCGGGGGGCAGTGACGTATTCATGGTGGATCCTCACCAACGATTTCTTCATGTCATCTTCTCAGGTAGAACAGATCTCCCTGTTGTAGTCATCTCCATTAGCATTGTTGTATATGGTAAACATTGTTAGGATTATTCTTCATATTATTATATAAAGACTTGAATTTCTCTCACAGTGCCCCATTTGGTACGCATCAGCGGCACGGATCACCCTCGCTGAGGTAAGACGTTTCAGCCATGTTTATGTTCAAGTCTGGCCTTCTCTCACAACTTGACGCGCGTAATAACCTGCAGTGTCTTATTAGCGCGTTGAGGGTCTCCTGACTCGAGTGGCTTCCTGTGCATTCACCGAGCACCATGTCCCTAAAACATCTGGTGGTGTTCAGGTAACCTAAGCATGTTCTAGTAGATACCAACACGTCTGTTGTTGTAGAACGTTCCCTGAAAAGCTCATACACTGAACTACATCCGAGCACAAGACACTATGCCCTGAGTATGTGTTCCACAGGTGACGGAGGTGTTCTACACTCATCAGTCCCTTATCATCGGACATGATGAGTGGCGTGACTTTGCACGCTCGTGGTCAGAAGTCCTTCTCTGTGAACCAGAGCCTCAGGATACTCCTGAGGTAACTAACTCACTTCTGTTATTGGGTGTAATAAGTTCTTTATAGCTGTAACAGATGTTTAACATTTGGTATTCAACGTTTTTGCTGGTATTACAGGCAGCTGGAGGCAGTGCAGATGTGGACAGAGAGGTGCCTGCTTTGCAGTGAGTACCACATCAGCTTTAATCCTTTTCTTATTAATTGGAATCTTGGTGTTCATTTTGACTGAAAGATATTTGGTTAATGTGCAAATGCAAAATGTACTCCTTTTCCACAGTGCCTACACACGGATTAAGAGGATTGACAACTTTCCTCTTAAACTGATCGCTCTGCGCCAGGCCTTCACTGTAAGTGGGACTGCATAGAACTACTTTTACACACCTCAAATCTTTAAATAATGATGTGTCATCATTCCTTTACTGACACCCATTTCTCCATTTCTGTAGATCATTCTGAACAACGCAGAGTGCCGAAAGGACGTCTGTGAGACTGGCAGGAAGATTCTTGGTGACCTCGGCACTCTGAATGCCAGGGTAATTACATGATCATGATCTAAAACAAATGAAGCATGTAAATTAGTAGAATCTGATTTAAATGATTGGTTTGAATACCTTTCTTCTTCCTGCAGGATCTGACTGCCTTTCAGCAGGCGTATGATCGGCTGCTGGCGTTGGTTCAGGATCCTTCCTGCCGTGAAGGAATTGAAGTGGAGCTGGCGCAGATTGGGGTGAGTTCAATTAACTAGGCTGTAACCTAAACCGTGGTGTCACTTCTGTTCTGTAACACTAATGTTTCCTTATACTTTCAGATTCATCACTTCAACTTCATAGACATCGTCTATGAAGTGGTGATCTTCGGAGTTCAGTGTGGAGTGAGGCCTCAGATCTGTCCAGTAAGAAATCTTGACAGTTTTCAGAGTGGAATGTGTGTGTTGTGTCCTAGAGATCAGGGTTTAGACAGTACGGAGCAACAGAATGCTGATTTAGCGGCAGCATCCTGGTGTCTTTAGGTCAATTTCAGTAAATTATCCAACCAAAAACTTTAATCTAGAAGGGGGTTGATACATAAGTGTCCAGAGGAACTAACCAGCAGTGCTCATTTCTTTTTCATTTCTCACATTGTTGCAGATGCCAGGAGGATTTCTTGACCATCTGTTGGTCATGATCTCTTCTTTCTCTGCGTCCACCGAGCAGAGCAGACCCAGAGCCGAGCAATACAGACTCATGATCCAGGTAAAACTCAGAATCCATCACAACACAAGTGAACATCACAACTCTCCTCCAGACATTCAGAGCAGAAATGATGAGAATTTGTTTTGACACGTTTTGTTTTCCTCATTTAATAACCATCTCTGTTCTCTGTGTCTCAGAATGCGATGATGCGCCTCCTGGAGGACATCTTTGCCCTGGGGGAGTCTGTGTATGAGCATCCTGAGTCTGTGGCCGAAGCTGTGTGGAACTTGGTTGTGGACCAGTTTGACGAGCTCTTGGACAGGCTGAAGAACATCGAGCCAGAACTCTTTTAAATTCCTTTTCAGATTTCATCCCTCCTTCCCTTCCCTACTATCTCTTTTTCACCATTAATATTAATGTTTTACTTAAATATATTTTATGTTAAGACTCCTTAAAGAGCCCATATCCTACATTTTTCCACTTTTAAAATTTCTGTGCCAAATTTCATTTCTGCATTACCATTTTCAAACCTCCCTTTGTCCAGTAGAATTAAACAGGCTTTTTTTGTTACTTTGCCTTTAAGACAGATATATGTAAATGAACTCTCTTCAGATTGGCTTCTTCCTATTGTGCCTAGTTCAAAAGCAGTCTGTCTGAAATGCTTCTTAACTTTAGCGTAAATTGGGCAGGACTAAACTGCTGTAGGCTGAACAGGCACATGTATATAAATGTGTTGTTTATTGTGAAATCGCAGATACGATGATTTAAAATCAGGCTGTTTTTTCACTGTAGTTTATATAAATGGACCGTCTGGACTGGGAAGTGAATGGTACATTTTAAAACTAACTGTACTACATCAAACTCTTTCATTCAGTTATCATGATATGGGCCCTTTAAGACTGTTCACTGTAAATAAATGTATTATTAGTATTTTAATCAGTTTTGTATAAGAGCTGTTTTAGTTGTATTTGTGTGTTTTTGTTATATGAGGTAAGGCAAAGTAAGGTTCATTTCAGTTTGCTTTCTATTGTTAAGCGTTTTTTTTGTTACATGATATTAGCATTTTGTATTTTAAATGTTTGCTTTCTCTCTCCACTCTTTCACTGTTTCTTTGCAGGTTTCCACTGGATCTGCAGTCGTCTTGTATGGTGTCAGATGTGTTGTGAGTCCTGTACAATTTAAATATCCTCTATAAAAGGACTATGTATTAGATATTATTTAACAATGAGTCTGTTTTTCTGTTTTTCTGTTTTTTAGGTTTGAGCCAAAACACAGGTACATCGGAGTATTAGACCATTTGATATTATAACACTGTCAGTATAAAATTGTCATTAAAAGTATTAAATGGCATTAATACTGAAAAAAATGATGAAGGCTTTTAGATAAATGCTCCAGTAAATATGTAGCATGTTTTATATGTATAATGTGGTGCCTCAGCTCTTTGTCTCTGTATTTGCAGTGGTTGCTGCTTGTCATTTGATGCTGCACACTAGGGAACCCTGACCAGTGATGTCCTCCATGTTATTATACCATCTATTAGCGAATACCAGTCAGTCCAGTAGGGCATCAATTCTGTTGGACTGACTTGTCTCCACCACCACCACCCGTAAGTAAATGATCCACTAAATCAACTTTAACACATTTTACTATATTCATTATTATACTATACTACATTAGGCTATGTCTGAAAATCATAACAAAATCGGTTATGAAGTTAGAGCCAGTTAAATAATGAGAACTCATTATACCTCAGTATTTGTTTACAAGCGGATCTTGACCATTCCAAGACGTACAGCCACAGATAAAGAACAACAGACAACACAGCATCTGTGTATTTATATCTATGCCCCGACCCCCCTTTGGTGTCTCCTTCAGGAACTGCTCTGGAGAATTTTTTTTGTTAATTGTTCCCCAACAGTGAAATGAAACATCCGCCCATGCGATCAGATTATAGACAAGAGATATTTTTCTGAATCAGTCTTAAATTTTAGATGTAGTTTAAAAAGTAGTGTCAAATGCGGACTTATAAGCTGAGTGTTAAATGTGGATTTTGAAAAGTATTTAATCAGTGTTTCAGGCAGGCTGCTGTTTAGACTACAAGTGTTTATTACAGACCCTCAGAGAAGCCACAGAGAGTAAAGCACTGAACAGAAAACAACAATGCTGTTAATGCAATTATTTTTAATGACTGTGATTAAAATAATGCAATCACTGCACAGTCTTTAATAAAGAATTTATCTTGGGAAGAAATGATTGATTACATATAAAAAGCAAGTAAGGCCCGAAAATAAAATGATTACAGTAATCATTTCATATATTTAATATGCATGCAAGTAGCATGAAATCAAAAATCTATTGCAGGAGCATGTGATTAAAACCAAATTTGATTCCTTTTCAGAAAGACGGAGGAAATTAAGAGCAAGCTGGAATCCCTCGAGTTGTCCTGTGAGGAAACAGAGAGCAGTCAATATCAGCAAGAAGAAAGAACGTGTGGTTCAACATTCAACATGCACTTTATACTGTACACTGAGTGAAAGTAAAGTTTCTGTGTTTTGACAGTTTAGCATTAAACACTTCAGGCGTCTGGTTCCTTTAACTGTTGCTGTGAACAATTCCATAGATATCAACCTCTAGAGACAATAGCCCTGATATTCACAGCTTCCAAACGGTGTAAATTCACTGATACCCATACAGTACAGTTCCACCATTAAATTCATTAGCAACAGCCATTCATGATGTTTTGATTTCCTTTACTGTGATACATTCCTCTGGTAGTCATAATAATTACTTTATACAGAATTAGACATTCATTTTTACTTTATTTGAAATTGAAGCAGTCAAGCAGTCTGTCATCCTCTCAGTTAATACATGTGCAAACATAATGAAAGACAGTCAGAGAGACAGACTGAGACAGAATCAGAGTCAGGTTGTGTTTAGAGATGAGCTGACATAATAAGTCTTCTGAAGCATAATCTGCAAGGTGAGATCACGAGTAACTGCATCCTTGCTAACGCGTCTTCATCTCACAAAGAACGCAGATATTAAAGGTACATCCCTCTTATGATGATCTGATTATTACAGTACAGTTTTTTCACTTCTGGTGAGTGATGCTCTGATGACTCGGCTTGTTTCTCACATGTGGTGATTATGATATCTATTCAGTTTTGCCTGTGTACAGCTTGTGCGATGACACACTCAAAAGAGAGAAAGAAATCTGAATGTGATTATTATCTGAATGTAATTATTAATTAGCCGTATTAACCTAGGTTTCCCATATCCCAGCCTTATACAGCTAAATAATGTCATGTATAAAAATATTTTATACAATAAACTGTATAGGTATGCAGGGAATTAATGCTGGACTACGCTGTTTTTTTTCCATGTGAATTCCATGATGGTCTACGACAGTTTATGCTGATTTATGCTGGTCTGCTGTTGGTTTAGCTGGTCATGCTGCTTAACTAGCATACAAGTGCTGGTTCTGCTGGTGACCTATGCTTATTTTCTAGCAGGGAACATTTTCTAAAATCCTCTCCCTAATTTAGTTTTTGCTAATTCTTATGAAACAATTATGCAGATTGTTCTGCCTTCAACATGTTCTTACATTTACAGCTCAATTCCAGCCCATAGAGGTCACACTATTCCCTTTTTACCCTTTATCTGTAAATGGCACCTCACTTGCACAAAGTCAAGCACTGATGGTTGTAAAGTAGAGAGCCGGATTAGAACAAAATGAGACTTACGGTGAAACCACACAGGAATACACGATGGTCAGGAACTTGTAAGTATAGACACAGGGGTCAGAGAATACACCGTTTGTGGCAGGGACTGTGCAGGTGGTCTTGCCTTCACATCTGCAGAGAAAGAAAGATTTGTTTTAATTCAAACTCTCCTCACAGAAAACAGTGATGTTCAAGTACACACTGTAACACTGAAATGTAGTTCAACTCACCTGTTTATTACTTCAGCTAGAGTGCTGGTTGCGTAGCAGTCGTTCTTGGTGATCTGATTGACGGGTCGTCCAGTTATGCATGTGGTGGAATCAGTTCGGCCATAGTTAGCAGCTTGGATTTTTAAAATGCCAGCGCCTGAAATCGGAGGAAGTTAGCAAAAGAAAAAAAAATACAACTTATTTGTGTGGACAGAAAAATAGTGCTTAGAAAGCATGACTGCAGATTATGTTCATGATTATATGGAGAAGCATAAAAATGATGTGTACGAACCACACGTCAGTACAGCATTGTCGCCTTCACAGGTCACACTGGTTTCTGCAGAAGACAATCATTTCTTAATTGTACATTTTTTTACATATTTAAAGTCTCAGAGGAACAGTTGACATCAAAAATGTGATCAGAATTTCATGGTTGTCTTATAATCCTCGTTGAAGATGACAAACTGGGAAAAGATGGTCTTTGCTGATGTTGGTTTTGGAGTGATCCATTAGAATTTAATAAAGCCGTTTAACAGGAGGAAGGAAATGAGATGGAGAAGAAGTGACTGGCAGGGAGGAATGGTTACTCACGAACAGGCTGTGGGAGACAGAAATAGGACACAGCCAGGTACTTGGAAATCCCAATGCAAGGATCTGTGAAGATGGTGTATGAAGCTTGCACAGTGCAGCTGCTCCTTCCATTGCACCTTTAGTTGAATGTGAAATAGTAACAAAGGCCTCTTAGACCAGTGATCACTGACCCAGTAAACAATACACAAAATACATAAAAAAATTCCCACAAATTACCGTGTGGCCACACTAGTAAGAGTGTCAGGAGCGTAACAGTTGGTGTTCACAGTCAAAGAGCTGGGAAGTCCCTCTGAGCAGATCTTATTATCAGTGCGTCCATAATTAGCGTTAAAGATCTGAATCACATCATTTCCTACACAGAGACACAGTTAAAGCTACTGAGTAACATCTGCAATTTCAATTGGGTCAAATGGAATCAAACAATCAGTAATAAAACAGTGAGGTGGTGCAGAGGGAGGGAGTTCTCACCACAGTCCAGTGTGCTGTAGCCGTCCTCACATGTCACGCTGGCACCTGAAAAACAAATTAAAATGGTGCCATAACCTCTTCTTCAGCTGTAAATTCACCTGTACACCATTATCTAGCCTACCTGTGTCCTCATATGATAATTAAGTTTTAGTTTGGTAAAAAATTAGTTTTAGTAAGCAGTAATTTACAGCTCTTCAAAACATGTTGACTTACCATGTTTATGAAAATTAGGATATACAGTGAAGTAACAGTGAAGTTAATCAGCTATTAGCGTTACAATTCTTAACGTAACTCTTCAAAACTATTAATGGTTTTACTCTAAAAAGGCATTTTTTTAAGTGGAATTTGTTAGCAAACATTTTTAAGTAAATGCTTTGTTCAGTGTACGCTGCACTAATCCACACATACAGTCACTCCTACTTACGGGCTTGGATGCAGTCATATGTGGTGTTGTAGTACTTGAAAGTTCCGACACATGGATCAGGGCTTCCGATCACATCAGTCTTAAACTCACACACTCTGTGGCCATCACACCTGTTTAAGATAAAATGTATTGGCACAGATACTCAGTGTTTGATATGATGTGCATTTAAAATGAATAGCAGGCCTCAAACAGCTGGTTATCAGTTAGACAAGAAAGAAAGGTTGCTGTGTTTGTGCCCTGCTGGTAGAAATGAGTCTGAACAGCTCACAATCTGTACATGAGAGGGACCAAACAAGTGTAATCTGGTATTAGAGATTAAAACTGTAATTCTGTAGAAGCGACAAGTAACAACACAATTGTTTGTAACGTGTATTTTAATTAGTTTTTTGTTTTTTTTTTACCAATGTGTGTAAAGGGTCCATATCATGGAAAACTAATTTTTCTGACATTTTTTGAAAATGTGAGAGTTTGATGTTTTTTGTTAAAGTTTCAAAATGTACCATTCACTCCCCAGGCCATAAAGTCAACATTTGGAAAATATCTACAAAACAGTTTTTATTTATTTATTTATTTATATATTTTTGGTGAGGTCACAAAAAACACCTTGTTTACATATCCACCTGCTCAGCGTACAGCAGTTTAGCTCCGCTCCACACACACCGAAGTTAGGCTACATTTACACGGTGAACATATTTTGAAAAACAAACACAGCATCTATTTCTACATTAAAGTAAACCACTCATCAAGCTCTAGTAATGAGGGGTACTCATTGTCTATTTCTCAAGGTTTTTTTAGCAAACCTTGGCAATAACAATGAAGAAGATGGTACATATACCAGTGAATTAATATTTATTTTTTGAGCAAGTAATGCTGTCCTACTGCACAGCCCTGTGTGCCCTCTGTGGGGGTGAATATGTTCTACACTGAATGTGTATTAAAACTCTGTACCTCTTGGAGATCAGAGGAATCTTCATGGAGCAGTTGGTGTTCTGGATTTGGGCTGGTGGGCGTCCAATGCTACAAATGCTGCAATCTGTACGGCCATAAATAGCAGACTTCACCCTTATTAGTCCAGTCTCTGAAAACAAAGAAATATGGCTATAAATATGGAGTTAATTCTCATTAGAACGGTATTGAGGTATGATTTATTGTACGGTTAAAAACATTTGCTTTGTGTCAGAATACAAATTTACACTCACTGTATAAGTGACAATTCATAGATTCAGCATGTCTGCATTCTAACTCAGATTTATTAGCATTGTCAGAATATTTCAGACTGTTTTGTGTTGTTGTGGCCCATAATAAAATATTTCAGTAATGCTTTATAATGCTGTTGACTATGTAACTAGGTAACTATGCTGGGGCTGAGTAGGGAAGAATAAATATTGTTACATTAACACATAGTGTCACTATAAACTACTGAGTTATGCTTGTTAATTACTCACTAAGTAATAGTAAATGACGGATAATAGTAATGATTGGCGTAGTTCACTGTTAAATAAGTAATCATTTTTTAGTCTTACATATTTCATGGAGAGTCGTAACTGGCTCTTTTAAAACACAAAAACATAATGTGCTTAATTTTTGACAATGTAACTTTATTGTGGTTTTGTATCTTTATATTTGCCATTAATAATGCATGTCACTGTTACTAGAGATGAGTGCTTCTGCTACTGTTTCAGGTTCAGTTTTAAGGTACAGTGCTTCTACCAGACACTGGAGTTATCCTAAGCTTTCTGTACATGCATACTGTTATTTCCATTAAATGACTGTGTTGTTTTTCCCATTTAAAAGGTGTAAAATGGACAGCAATAACATACTAGTGACATACATGGTAATGTAGCTCTAGTAATTTGGCTCTGCATACTTACTTTGTGGGCTTAGAATTATAAGTTTCTCTTTAATGTTTTTGTGATCTTTATTGTTGCTCTTGTGAATCTTTTAAAAAACAAGTGTCATAAAGTCTGTATTTTAAAAAAGTTAAAGGTTCCTTCTTGAAAACGGCACACTAACTGAGCGTTATAAGGTTCTGTCTGAGTCTGCCCATCAGTACGGCCAATGAATGTGGGGTAACCAATCAAAATATGTTTTACCCATTTGCTCATGCTCAGCAATAGACTCTCTACAGGGGTTAGTATTTTGGCTATGATGCCTATATAAATGTGCTTGAGTACTTTTTAAACAATTTAGTAATAAATCATATCAGCAGAAGGTAAAACTCTCCCATTATTTCAGAAACAGGACTGCTAAACGCTAAAAGGGGCCCACGAGTGAGTCCTCAATGAATGGGAGTGAATGGAGTTAAACGGCTAAAAACCAACTTAAAATAGTTTCTAACCACTCATCCAGTACCTTTTTTTTTATTTTAACTGGAGTTCAATAGCGCTCAAAAACATAACAGCAGTGTTATAATGTTTTATGCTGTTCTGTGTTTAGGAAAGTAATGCATTCTTCTATATAAAAATGTTTAAGCATTTCCAAAAAGTACATTTTAAACATATCATTTCAGAAACACTAAAGATAACTGCAGCGAGACAGTGGCAGTGAAGCGGAAGCACAAACAAAGCTATTTGTATTTTTAAGAGACTCTTTCTAACGTTGATGTCTGACAATTTATATGTATTAAAAAACTAACATTTTGGAGCATTTTTCCTGTGCAAATATCTGACAGTAAAGTGAATGTAAAACAGAGCACTACATTGTATTACAACAAAACAGCTGCTTTTATATTTACTTAATGTTCATGTAGTTTGTTCAAGTTTGAATCTTGAACAGTCTGATGAAGTTTCCATTCTAGTTTGGGTTCATTCACAGACAGAAAGTTATAATTCTTAAAGCTTAAATGTTCAGCATTCAGAAGTATTAGCTGTGAAAGTTAATTGTGGTATATAAGAGCTTTGCTATTTTGAAAGTAAAATCTTTGACCCTCAGTATCTCAGAGCTGCACTGAACGTAGACAGAATCTCATAATTGTAAGCTGACAATTTACTAACTATAATTATCAGCAAACAGTATTTAAAAGTGTTACCAGTATTTCTATACAGATATCATGTATGTATGGCTTAGTGCTGCTGGGGATTATAAACTATTTGAACTTACCACAGCGGAGGTGCTGGACGTTGCCATAACAGGTGATTACATTCTCTGAAATAATAACCCATTCATAGATATTTGAGCACTTAAGTCAGTGTGCTTAACATTTGTTACACAGTCATCACAGTGATAAGAATGCATTAAGGTCATTTGAATTATTGGTGTTTTTTTTTCTTTTTACCTGCAGTAACGAGCAAATCTGGAGCTGCAACCAGCACTGTAAGAAGAAAAGCAGTTTACTTTAGTTTTCTCTGAAACTGTCCAGTCTTGGTACTGGAGTCCTCCTGCAAAGCACAGGAGGACATTCCCTGTTCTAAAAGCTGTACTGGGAGCAGGAAAAACATCAAAACATGCAGCACTCAAGAACATGGAAATGACCTAAACCCACCCAACACAAAGTTTGATCTTCTGTTTGTTTACTAGTGCTCCTGCTGAGAAGAAAAAGTTATGCATAGCATCACACACCTCGCATACAACATTCAAGCACAGACAACACTTACAGGTGAGTAGAGAGAGCTTCAGGAAGAACATTGTGCTGCTGGAGATGTTAGATGTTGAAGGCTTGAGGCTTCAAGTGATGGTACCACTCAAGTGTATCAGAATTTAAAGAGAATGCTCGAGGAAGAATCTACACAATCAGGATGATCTTACATTGACTTAACATGTTCAACACACACAACACACTTTCTACAAGCCTGTTGTGAATTTCCCTGTAACAGCTTTGTTCCTTGTGTGCATTTGTCATGTTTGCGTTAAGGCACCGTTTACAGCACTCTCTCTGTTTCCATTTAACTCTAGTCTACGGTTGGAATACAGTTGTGAGAAAACTTTCTCTGGATTTCTGAATTTTATATCGTAATAAATAAATAGATAAAGTATTATTTAACAAACGGCACTTATGTGTAACAGTGCCATATCTATATTGAACAAATGGTAATAATCAAAATTACTGATGGAAAACTAAATCCTTGTATTTAATAAAATGAATCTTCTTTATTGGATAATAGACCAAATGCTTTCTGCTGATGTTGGTCAGTCCTGCACAAGACTTATAAGATATTTATAATTGCACAAGCTTTACATAAACATTGCCTCCAGCTGGATGCCCATTGAGGACATGCAACATCTTGGGCATCAGTGGTCAGGGATAACCACCTGCCCAAAGGCACAACAAGAAGATGGGGGAACAAGGTCCCAATCTTTCTGGATGTAAACTAAGTTTTGTAAATATGTGAACAATTAAGGCAGTGTGACAGTCTCTGCCTGGGGTGATCAGTCGTAGCAGTCGTAGCAGTGAAGGTCTTGTGAGGTATGTGACATGTATGTCAATCAAGGTGTTGTGAGGACAGCAGAACATGACATCCACATTGAGGTGTTTAGTGCCATAGTGGTGTACTGCAGTGGAGACGTAGAGATTAAGTTCAACATCCCAGAGGATCCTCATCCACTATTCGCTTTTTGAGACTCACCAAAGGCTCATGGTCACATTTTGCCCACTTCTTTTCCAAAACTGAAAGTATACGACTGACACATGCAATGACACAAGTATAAAGCAGGAGATAACAACAGCATTTTTAGAATATCTCCACACACAGTTACTGAATAAGGAGGCATGTCCACCCCCTATTCAGTATTGTAATAGTGTATGTAAATATTATAAAAGGCTGCATTATTTAACAATACATTTAATGTATTGTCACTTTTTGAAGACATTTTGTGATATAATTTGTCAAATATGTGTTAAAATGAGGAGGAAAATAACCACAAAACTATACAGCAGATCATACATTAATTTATTGACCCTTCACATTACAGACTGCATCCTATGTGCTTGGTGAGCTGTAATTTGTCTCATGAAATTCTGCCTTTTCATTTTTTCATAAGCAAGATTTGGATGAGCGTTGTGCAAAGAAAATTAACAGGTTTGTTCCACTACTGGGTATTTGCTCTTTAAAACTCTCGAAATGCTCGTCATGGATGAATAACTTTTAATAATAAGATTTTATCATTGATGTTTTGCTGAGCATTGACATGAGGTAGTTATTCCCCCATAAGCTGGCTTTAAATTGAGGTAAATCTTTTGGTATCTAGCTGGAAAGCTAATTTAGCTTTTAAAGATGGCTGATAGCTTTGTAAGTAAGTTAGCTAATGTTAGCAACACCATGAAGAAATGACTTAGGTAACTACACAATTCAAGCTGTAACTACACAATTCTGGCAAAGACTGAGGCGATTTTTTTATTATTGTTCAGAATGACACTAAAGGGCCAGCTGGAAAGCTAACACTAGTTAGCTAGGGAAAAAAACTTTTTGTTGGGAAAAAAGTCAGTTGAACATGCCATGCAAAAAACTACAGGCTAGTTAGCTACTAACTATCTTTAGAGAGGCACTGTTTGTGTATTTTTTAAAATGTTGTGGTACATTTAGGCTAAAAGTACACAATATGTTGACAAAGAAGACACAGACACAGCATAACTGGGACACATTATGTTTGTGTTACAAATTTAAACACACTGTCTGTGTTAATGCAGAGAACACAGGGTTGTGTTAAAAAGAACTCATGGATGTTTTTAAAATAACACAATGTGTGTTGTTTTAATACATCAGTTTTGAGAGTGTACACAAATAGAGCTGCAGTAAAAAAAAGAGCCAGCAGCAGCAAGTTCTCTACGTTCTCTTCACTGATGACCTCACCTGGGCCCTCCAAACCAACATTATTGTGAGATCTGCTGGGCTGCCTGAGGCTCTAGAGGTCAGGCCTGGATATACAGACCCACTCACAGAAAAAAAGTGTCCTACATAGCAACATCAAACGAGGGGCAGGGCTGTTTCATTTTCCTTCAAGAAGGAAAAAGGCCTTTTTTGTTAAAAAGAGATTATTGAAACCAAATAAAAATATTAACAATTTAAAATATTAAGAATTAACTGAATAAGTTACATCACAATATAGCAAGCAAAATATGTTCATTTCAATTGGACAAACATTTATGAAATACATTTCTGGTGTAATGATTGGCACAATGATTGCTGTTTGTGGTGTATGTAAATCTATGTTTATTGCTAAGTTCATACTGCTGTACACTGATGTTTCATACTGACCTTCACAGCACAGAACACTATACTAATACTGGGTAGAGCCTCCTTTTGCTCTCAAAACAGCCTCAATTCTTTGTGTTCCATAAGATGTTTCCTTGGGATTGTGGGTTATGCTGACATTATTGCATCATGCAATACCTGCTGATTTTTTAGGTGCACTTTCATGATGCGAATCTCCAGAACATTCCAAAGATGTTCTACTGGATTCAGATTCAGTGACTAGGAACTCATTGTCAAGTATACTAAAGCAGTTTGAGATGACTTTTGCTTTGTGACATTATCATGCTGGATGCAGCCATTAGAGCGTGGGTAAAAGGTGGCCGTGAAGGGATGCACATGATCGGCAACAATACTCAAATAGGCTGTGGCATTCAAGCGGTGATTGACCACCTCCACCAGCCTGGACTGTTGACACAAGGCAGGTTGGGTCCATGGATTCATGCTGTTGGCATCAAATTCTGATCCTACCATCTGTTTGCCTCAGCAGAAACAGAGAGGCTATGTTTTTCCAGTCATCAACTGTCCAGTTTTGGTGAGCCTTTGCCCTCTGCAGCCTCAGCTTTCTGTTCCTGGCTGACAGAAGTGGAAAACGATGTGGTCTCTTGCTGTTGTAGACCATCTGCCTTAAGGTTCGACGTGCATTCTGAGATGCTTTTCTGCTGAACACAATTGTACAGAGTGGCTATCTGAATGACTCTTCTGTCAGTTTGAAGCAATCTGGCCACTCTCCATTGACCTCTGTTATCTGCCTGCAGAAATGCCTCTCACTGTTTTTTTATTGCACCATTTTAAGACTGTTGTGTGCAGGCGGTAGGCAGAACTTTCACAATGGGGTGGCCAGGTTAGACACAGTGAATTTATTGGGGTGGCAAATGAAAACACACACACACATCTTCTAAGCCGTTTATCCTTCTGGGTCGCGCGGGGGGGGGGCTGGAGTCTATCCCATCAGTCATTGGGTGGAAGGCAGGAGACACCCTGGATAGGTCACCAGTCCATCACAGGGCCTAATGAAAACAGTGGTTATTATTATTATTATTATTATTATTATTATTATTTAGAAACAGAAAACTATCTACCCTCATCTTTTTTTACCGCCTACTGTCAGTTTTTCCCTTCTCTTTGTAAAGAGTCCTTGGGTTTGTGAAAGGCGTTGTATGAATTGAACCAGGAATGACTATGGTCACTGCAACAAAGCTTTTCACCAGTTTCTCATTCGAATTCATGTACCAACTTAAATCCTGCAGTAGTGAGCTGCACCTGTACGTGCGCCAGAATGTAAGTGCTGAACTATTTAAGGTGGACAGAAAAGTTCAGATGAGAAACTTTCCAAAATCATGTGAACATTTCATACATATAACGCAGCTTAGTGTGCATCACCCTAAGAGACAAAAAAGAAATTGGCATGTGGTTTGTTTGTGTGGTGTTGATTCTCTTCATGACTTGGAAAACATGTTTCTGCTTAATTACTATAATTTCTGCAGTTTTGCTTCAATAGTCAATGGTGGAGGGTTTAAGAGACAAAACATAGGTTTATTTGCATTATCAGTAAAAATCATAGACTTTCATCATTTGACTTTCCAAGGGTGTTGCCTTGTTATGGGCAGCTGCACAGTTTTCAAGGATCTCAAGATGCACTGATAATTTTATTTGTCTTTTTCATTTATTTAGGTGCCAGTATGTCTAGAGCCGGGAAAGCTAATATTGAGTTTATGGTCCTTATCATGTACTGAGACTGGGACACTAGTGTTTTCAAAGTCAAAGTAAGCTTTATTGTCATTTCTTCTCATCACAGATGTATTAAGAGAGATAAGAAATGTAGTTTCTCCAGAACACGGTGCTACATTTAAACACAGAACAGCAGCAGACATCAGTGCAGACAGACAATAAATGCAATCAATACAGACAAACTAGGCAAACGCTATACAAAAAACTACACAACTGTGCCACCATTAAGCACAGGCCACCAGAGAAAACTGACCAGCTGGTCCACAGCTACAGTAATAGTTGTGCTTGTTTTTTTTCAGTGCACTGTTAATTAACAATAGTACTTCTGTAACACAAACCAAAAGAAATAATAAAACTGCAGACCATGTACAGATTAAAGTGAGTGAGAATGTTCTGAGTAAATTAGTGGCAGAGTGTGGAAGGTAAAGTGCAACAAATGAAAATGTATAGTAAGGCTGAGGTAAGCAGTTCAATGAGAAAGTTTAACCACCTAAAATCACAGGCTTATTACAAACTAAGACTCATTACTCAGTATCTACAGTACAAACTGGCTGAGCTGTTCTTAAGTGATGAAGCCAAACTTTGGGGTTGCCGGCAGATCCTGACCATTTAGGGGTCAAAGGTCCATCAGGGATGCTTCCTGATGTTGCACACTTTTCTTTTACACTATTTGGTGTCGATGTCTTTTACTGCTAAACCTGTGTCAGG